GTAATTAATGTTAAGCTTAGGCAGGTTACCAGCTTTGGCTAACGTAGTAGTATATTTGGGAGCAGAGGTTTTAAGGGAATTTTATGATCTATCTTGTGCTCTGGTGATCCACCATGAGAAGAACATGTCTTGGTAACCCCTGTCCTTTTAGCCTGAGCTGCAGAAAGAACACATGTGAATCAAATCTAAATCCATTCTCCAGCCCAGCCACCCAGCCAAGCCCAGACTAGATACGCTGAACACAGAGAACTCACAAACCTGTGAACAAGAGAATAAATGCTTGTGTATGCCACTCAGTTTCAGGGTGGTCTGTTAGGCAAAATAAAAATAACTAATACATATAATAAAAGAAGCCACAGGAAGATTAGATCATAAATCTGGCGGGGAAAATCACCAAGGGAAACTGGAACGCAACAGAACAGGGCCAAGAACTGCTGGGGGTGGGGGAGGGGGGATCGCAGCAAAGGATATTATAATGAGAGTGGCCAATGGGGAGAAAGGACCACTCGAAACCAAACACAGAGATGTTTTTCAATTACCAATTATGCCAAAGGCTACTCACAAGTCAACTCAGGTAAGAACCACTATCAGTCACAAATATCTCACCACACTCACAGACACTGCACAGCTGCCTGACAGTCACAGACACCACACACGTTGTCATAAATCACAAACATAACCATAACACAGACATCCCATCACAATTACTCCATCACACTCACATCATCACAATCACACGTACACACACACAGGATCACAACCCCACAGATTATTATAATCACGAACTCTCCACGACAGTTTCTTGTTCTAACAACTCCAAACACTCTCCCGGAGCGTATTCCCACCCCGCGCACGCCGCACAGCCGCTACTCCAGACACTCTGGGCCTCCTCTAAGGCTCCGCCCCGTCAGCCGCGCGCGCTGGTGCAGCCCAGACTGCTTGAGCCCCTCCTTCAAGGCCCGCTCCGGGGACGCGGCAGCGTCACCTGCCGGAAACGCCCGAATGCGCATCTAGTGCGCAGTTTCTGAGAGGCCGGGCGAAGGCGACCCGCAGGAAGGCCCGGCCAGGTGCCGGTAACGCCGAACTATCCCCCCACGCCCGCCTCCCTACGGACGTTCCGCTACACAGCACCTCCCAGAAGGCCCCGCGGCCCGAATCAACTTCCGGCCAGAACCGAGCAGGCGTTTCCTGTACGAGGGAGGGGATGAGCCAGGTCCGCTCGGGAGGCTGAGCCCAAGCCGGCCAAGCTACCGCGAGACGCAAGTCTGGGACCTGACGAGACTCTGAGAATTGCAGGAGCCGTCGTTTCG